TCGCGCCTTTCCCACGCAGGGTCACGTGCCCGGCAAGCAGCGCGCAGATCGCACAGGGTTTCCCCGGGTAATGTAGGATATGAGTGCGGCTCGGGATCCCCGGCGTGGCGCGGCGTGGCGCGCCGGCGTGGCGCTCCCACGTGTCCGACCGCGACGACGGCGGGCGGGGCGGGGCGGGGCGGGGCGCGGCGGGGACTTTTGATTCCCCAGATGCATGGCCGCGATAGGCCCCGGTCCAGCCCAGTCCGGCCAGCGAGGCTATGCGGTCCGGCTGCACCATTGCACGCGTCCGCTGCCAATCTGCGTTGCTGCAACGACTGCACTTGCAGTGCGGCGCGCTCCGCCGCTCCGCCGCACAGTTTTGCAGGCCTTGGCGTTGCCACCGCGTTGTTATACGGTCGGCAGGCCGCGGCCCAGCAGACTGATTCCAGCCGCCATCGATTTGACAGCAACTGGCCGAAGTTTCTCTGTCCGGGGAGCTACCGCGGCTACCGCTGGCGAGGTGCAGGCTGCGGCCCTTGGTGCGGTCCTCGGCCGGGCCAGGCCATCGCCACGGCCAGGCCGCCCAGGCCGCGGACTCTAAATCAGCCTCAGCGGCGCGGCCGGCCGATTACAAAGGCTCACGAGTGGAACGGCCGCCGCGGCGCGATCGGAAGGCGACCGCGTCCGAGAGCAAGCCGTCTCCGTCTGGCCGAGGAAGTGGGACAAGGACAGCGAATCTCCGCCGCGAACCGCGCCGCCTCGCGCACCGGCCGTCCGAGGCGCGGCCCGCGGATCCGGTCATGCCGTTGGACTCATCAGCGGCGCGGCTGCGGCGGCGGTGACTCACGGGGAGTCTCTCAGCATCACAACACACACACACAAACACACGCCGTTATGATTGGCCCGGCGTGTCGTCACCGCCGAACACCCAGGAACACCCGGGGCCCGGGGTTACTCAGGCAGGCCTTCCCAGAGCAGGCCGCCGCGTCCGCGGAAAAGAAAGCTTGGGCCGCGCCGCCGCGGAAGTGGTATTTGAACCCGGGCCAACAACTTGGAGGCTGCCGCCTCGACAACAAGGGTGCCATCCAGACGCGCGCGTCGGACCAAACGGAGCGGACTCGCAAAAAAGAGAGGAGACAGAAAAACGTTGCTTCCGGTTGGGAGGCAAGCGCCAGTGTGCTCCAGTTGAGGGCGGGCGGACGTCCTGCCCGCGGCTATGCAGTCTCACTCCGGACAGCGCTTCGTTGCTCTGTCTCTCTCGCACTCGTGGGCGACCCGTGGGGGTGCGAGAGAGACAGTGTGCCTGCGCGCTTAGCACCTCGCGAGGTGACGAGGTAACGCGGCCGGCACCCCAGGCCCGAGGCAGGGCCGGGGGCTCCGGACAGCAAAACGCCGGGGCACGGAGAGGGGGGGGGGGAGACAGTCGTCATCGCGGTAACGCTCCACCAATCGCGGCCCGCTTCAGCTACTTTCACTTTCCGAGTCCGGAGAGAGAGAAAGAGGTTGTGGGTATGCAGAGAAAGAGAGAGAGGTGGCGTACCGGCAGAGAAAGAAGAGAGAGAGGACGGCACACGCGTGCCTGGGCCTGGCCTGGGCCTGGCCTGGGCCTAGCACAACATAGCGGCGCGGCCCCTCCCCCCTCTCCGCTCGGTAGCGCTGCAGCCCGCCATTTTTACGCAATCGTGTTCATAATTTGCGGAGGCCGTCCGGGCCGCGTCCAGGCTGACGGATGGGATGGCCTGCGAGCCGAACCGAGCCGAACACGCCGTTTTGTTTGTGTCGTCCGGGATGGATCGACCGGGCCCGACCGGGCCGGGCTGGGCCGCGGACGAGAGTCGTTTCCATCGCTCCGTCTCTCTCGCACTCACGGGGCGCGCCGTACAGGTGCGAGAGAGACAGAGCGACGCCTGGCTGGGGCCGAACGGGCCGGGCGGCACGCGAGCCCGCCTGGCACGCGGGGGACGCCGAGAACCTTGCTGCCAATATCTAATCAACACGTGTCTAATTGAACACGCGTTGGCCAACCGCAGCGCCGCCGCGCCGCAGCGTGAGGCAACAGCCTTTTAACGCGCCGCGCCTCCTGGGCCTAGGCTGGGCCTAGGCTGGGCCTAGGCGAGCCCGGCCTAGGCCAACACACTGCAAAAAGCGGACGAGCATCCTTCTGGTGGCGTGGCGGCACCTTTGCCTTTCTTTTTCCTATTATGTAGTATTGGGCGACGCGGTTCGGGTCGGGGGACCTGCCACGCCGCGGCGCCGCCAGCCCTGCGTGTCCGGTTATGAAAGACTTAAGTGGAGGGCTTGGCACCCGCAGCACCCGCAGCACCCGCAGGGCAGCCTGCAAAATAGTCCTAATGCACCCGCCGAGCCAGATGGGGATCTGGCGCGTTCCCGTGCGTTAATATGACGCAACGCGCGCGCATTCGCACCCAGCGTGTTCTCTGCGTTTGAACGGCGTCCATTTGTACCACGGTGCAATATCCACGTGCAGCCGCAACATGCCGATCACTCTTGGCTTGGCAGTGTGTTGGGAGGACACCGCACTGCAAATAAAGTGGGAGCAGCCGGGCGCGGAGATAAAAGTGGCAATACGACGCAGGAAGGACGCGTATGCTGGCGAGGCGTGCCGATGCTCCACCGCTAAATACTTGATGGGCCGCCCTTGGCGCCGGGGGCCGCGGGGGCCGCGAGGCGGTGGCACTGCGGCACCGCGCACCGCGGAAGGCCGGCCACGTCCGCGTCGATATTGCCCCGCCGTCAAGTCCACCACCGCCGTGGTGCCCATGGCGCCGCACGGAGGCCGCAAGAGGACCTTCAATTTTCAATCAGGGAGTCAATGACCACTCGCGACCACGCCGACGACGACTCGATTGTCTTGTCTCGCTTGTCTCGAGGAGCGAGACAATGAGAAAGCAGCGGGTATCTCCAAGCACAATAATGCTGTTGTAACCGAATAAAAACACCTCACGGCGCGCGCCAGTGTGGCCGCACGCACACACACACACGCACACAGTGTGCGCGTTTGGCAGCGCAGGCAGCGGCGAAATTCTCATCGCCTTTTGCCATTCTCGCCGAGTGTCATGTGACGGCGGCGCGCGTCAAGTTTCCATTGAAATGTCAAATCCCAGCGGATACTTCACCACACAGGAAGGAAAAGCCGAAGTTTTCCCGCAACATTCCCGTCCTTTTCGGCTGCGTTCTCGTTCCTTTTTTCTTTCCTTCACTCTTTTTTTTCTATTCTTCGCCAAGTCGGAAAGCGTCTTTGTGCGTCGTCGACTAGGGGCCCCGGGCCCTGGGGCCGGAACGCCTGCTTGCGTTTTCATCTTTTTGTGTGCGTGTGTGGCGCTTTCGGCCGGCGCGCGGCTTTGCGTGTGCTTCGCCTTCGCCCTACCAGTGGAGGGCCGCAGCCAGGTGCAAGTCGGACGCAGCACGCCGTCGAACGCAGCACGCCGTCCGACGCAGCACGCCGTCGAACGCGGCGCAGGCCGGAGGGGACCGACCGGCCGGGCACGGGGCACAAATAAACCGGCTGAAAAACGGTCATCGATCCCCGGGGCCTCTCTGTGCGCCTTTGTTTTGACAGTCGTCGTCGGTCGAGGAGAGAATGGGGGACGTTTCTCGGTAACCTTGGCAATAACCCGCCTCTATCAATGCGGCGGCGGCATCGGGCGGCCCGGCGGGGCGATGGCGCGTCGCCGCCAACGCGCACGTTCGGACCCAATTTTACAGTGGCTCGCCTTTCGTTGGGCCGCTCGACCCGGCCGGCGTCTATCGTCTCTACCGTCTATCGGCGTTGCACGCGTCACAGGCCAGGCCCGGCACTGCACTGTACGGAAACCGTGCGAGGCGAAGCGCCTCGACTGCACCGCCAAGTGGATAGTGCGTACTTCGTAGTTTTCAACTGAATGCGTTTTGGAAAAGAGTTTGACTGGCTGGAGAATCCACTGGAGGTGGCTCTGCAGAGGCCTTGACCAGCTGCAGCAGCCTCAAGCTTGCTGCTGTAGAAAGCCTCTGGAGAAGTCTCTCCAGCTGGAGAGGCGACTGGAGGGGCCGCTGCTGGGCAGTGCAACCTTGGCCGTCGCTTTGTGCAAGCGCCTCGCGAAGGGAGAGGCGGCCCGCCCGCGCTGGCAGCCAGCCCAGGCGGCCCAGGCGGCCCAGGCGGCCCAGGCAGCCCGACTCCGGCCGTCCCGGTGAAACGAACGGAAGAAAGTTCGGCTCGGCGGTAACAGGAGGGCAGCCGCACGGAATGGGATTGATTGTGCAATTTCCAAAACCTCCTTTTCCGTCCTCAATATTTCCACCTTCGCCGCCTGACGAGCCCAGATCCGATGAGTGCGAAATAAACCCGTTTTTACGCAAATCCAAAACCTTAGTGTTATTTTTTCAAGAAACAAATCGTGGTCTGTTGTTTTTTGTTGTTGTTTCGCCGGGCGGGGCTGCAAGTGCCTGCCGAGGCGAACTGCAGCGACGCGTCGGAGTGACAGAGTGCGATGCAAGGACTTTACGGCCCATCATGGCTGTGAAAGGAGTGCATAAAGGTCCGTCTCACCGGCGTGGCAGGGCAGGCGGATCGGCCTGCAGACTGGCCGGCACAGAGAGTCTCTGCCAGAGAGCGTCTCCGGGAGTAAGAGCCCCACTCGCCGGAAAAGTAAAACCGCACGAGATTAACGCAGAGTGGCACGCGGAGGAAACGATGAGTGCCGAAAAAAAAGAACGCCACACGAAAATGGCCCGGCGGATATTGCGCGCTAAGCGGGCCTTCATTGAGACCCGGGCCATTGGGTGACAATCGGCCGCGAAACGAAAACAATGAATCCGGTCGTAAAGCCGAGCAGACAGTGTGCGCACACTCTCCGCAAAAAAAGCAAAGATCCAGAGGGGACGAAAGGTGGGCAAAAAGGCACACTCTACCGCTGTTAGTAGGCAAGAAGAGCTGCGTTGCCCGGCGTTGCCCGGCGTTGCCCGTCTTCGCCTCTCCCTCGGGCCGGCCGGGCCCCGGATCGACCACGCCGTCGACGTACCTGGGTAATGCAACACGCCGCCATGGCGATGGAGATGGGACGTCGCCCGGCGCTATGGTAATCCGTGGTGATTGCGGTGTGATGTCACTGACGCATCACTCGACAAGTTTCTTGTTTTTTGTTTTTTTTTTTTCACAAACACCACTTCGCTGCCTGGCACGCTCCGATTCGCATATCCCGCGAGTCCGGAGGGCGAAACCAGCGAACGCGTGCTTTGAAATCGGAACACTCGCACACACTCACACACCAACAACTTTCACACAATTTTTTTTTTGTCGGAAAAAATATTTAAAATGACGTAGCTAATTGGCACTGCATCCACACTGCTTCCACGAAGATCCGTCTGAAGCAAAGCGCGAGTGCCGTCGTGCGACCGAAGGGACCGTATGCCAGCGACAAGCCTTAGCGCTCTGCCTCGCTCTGCGTGCGTTCGCCTAAGCGCGCCCAGCGCGACTACCGTACCGTGCCAGCCAGCGAGCCCCACACCAGGCCGCCGCGAGCCCCGCCTCGCCCCGCCTCGCCCCGCCTCGCCCCGCCCCGCCACGACGCGCCGCTAAACGGAACCAGAGGCCCCGCTGGCCGCGCCCCCACCTTGCAAGGCGGACGGACGGACGGACAGACAGACAGACAGACAGACAGTCGGACAGACAGACAGACAGACAGACAGACGGACGGATGGGCAGACACGCAGGCGACACCGGAACAGCAGCGGGCCCTGCAGCAGGCCGGGCCCTGCAGGCGAACGGAGCGCCGCGGAGGTAGGCAGCACGAGACAGCCGCAGCACGTCGGTGCGACGGGCCGGCCTACCCGCCGGGGGCCCGGCCCGGCCATGCTGCCCGCCGCTGGAGAGAAACACGATGGCGACGAGGACGGCGACGGCGGGTCTCGGTGCGGTGCAGCCGGACGGGCCGACGGGCAGGGCGACGCGGCCACAAAGGAGATGCAGGTCGCGGCCCGTGACAATGACCCGCAGCGAGGCGCACCAAGGCGCAGCCAGGGGACTTCCCTTCCCGCCTGCGTCATTACGGCCAAAGTGGTCCCGGCGGTGCCGTCCCGGCGGGGCGGGCCTGCCTCGGAGTACCCCCTCCAGACCGCGAGACACCGCGAGACGGACAGGTACTGCCGCATGCATCGGTCGTTGGGCGGTTTACGGCGCGGCGCGGAGGAGACGCGAGGCAATGGAACCAGCCTCCCCCTCCCCCTCCCCCTCTCCCTCCCCTTCCGCGGGGGCTGCCCTTCGCGCCGCGAGCACGCCGTCCAGGAAAACGCCGCGGCAAGGAGACGCGCCGCCGGCCCTGGCTGCCCTGGCTGCCCTGGCTGCCCTGGCTGCCCTGGCTGCCCTCCGCGCAGCACGGCGCGGCGGGCAGGCCGATTCCGAACCGGGGTGTCGTCACTCGCCCCGTCTCTCTCGCACTCGCGAGGCGGCGGGGCACCTGGCGCGGGGGTGCGAGAGAGACAGGGCGACGAGGCACCGCGGCATCGCTCTGCAGCCCGCGCACAACAATGTTGTTCCCCGAGCGCTATAAATTCCAGGCAACAAGGCATACAATACAAGCCGACGTACACACCACCGCTTTGGAAGGGAGGGGGGGAGCAGAGGTTGAAGCGAGCAGTGTTTGACAAATAGTCCTGCTGCTCCTTGTACGGCAGGACCTGGGGTGTTGTTGTTGTTTGTGGCGGTGCATCCGACCGGGAGGGGGGGGGGCAGAGGGGGCGGGGCAGTGACCTCCCGTACGCAGAGGGCGAGGAGGAGGAAGAGGACGCACCTGGCGGCCCGGCGCGCCAATGATGAAAAATCAGCCACCTCACCAACAACAAAAGCAACAGCATAGCAGAAGCAGCGGCGTAAACAACATCAACAACAAGAGAATGCAGTGTTGTCGCGATAATGGCCGATTCTAATTACGCGCACACGCAGACGGCCGGTACACCATTATGCTGGCGATGGCGGCGACAGCGCGGTAGTCAAGACGAGAGGCCCACCCCGCCCCGCCCCGCGAGCTGGCACTGGACTAGTTGGCGATAAAACGAAACGAAGACCGAAGGCAAAGGCGGAGCGAAATAAAAGCGACCAAACCGACAAAACCGGCGCGCGGACGCGGCGCCTTGTGGGGCGCGACGACGTCGTCCACTCCACTGTAGCTCCGCACCACGGCGGCGGCCTCCATGACGGAGTGTCCAGTGTAGCGACTGTGGGTGCAGTGTGCAGCGTGCGGCAGCAGTGGCGCCGAAGTGTCCAAACGCCATGCGGCGCGCTGTTTGCAGGTTGCTGGTGGCAGTGTAGTGCATCGTGGTGTCCCGAAGGGTATCGGCTCGCGTCGCCCCACAGTGCCACGGCAGTGCGGCGTGGCCGCAGTCCCGACGCAGGTGGCGGCCTGGCCTGGCCTGGCGGGGCGCGCGGCAGCATCAGATAGCGGCCGTCGGCAACGTGCTGCAGGACGACCTCCAGGCCCTGCCTCCAGGCCCTGCCTCCAGGCCCTGCCTCCAGGCCCTGCCTGCAGTCTGCGAGGCATCAGGTATATCGCGATACAGCGCCCAGCAGTGGAGTGGAGCAGCCTACAGGCTTCGGGGCCTTCGAGCATGAGCCTCTCTTTTCAGCGGCGCACACTCCAAGCCTTCCCCGGGTTATCAGCCTTCAGCCCTCGGGCCTCAGCCTTCAGCACGGGGCGTCGTCTCGGCTTTCGGCTTTCAGCGCGTGCGGCGGGGGCGGCGGGGGCGAGCCCGGGGTCGGCTTTCGTCGCTTTCGTCGCTCTCGGGCTGGCGGCGCCATGACGCCGTGGCGGCACCTGGCCCGCTTTGTTTTCGGCGGGGTGACAAGATTGAGCCGCGGGGCCTTCATCTCGGGGAGCAGGGCGTCGCCGGGCGCACCGGCTGCCAGCCCGGCCCCGCCCGACTCACCCCGCCCTGCGGCCCGGCACCAAGTCGGATTACAGCAGCACAACTCGCGGCCCGGCCAGGCCCGGCCAGGCCCGGCGTCTGCTCCCGCTGGAGGACAATCAGGCCGCCGTCACTGGAGTCCCTCAAGGGCAAAGGGCGAGGGGCGAAGGGCACGCGCGCCAGAATGATTTGACTCTGCAGTCGGCGCCGCGCGCGGCCAGCACGGCGAGCACAGCGAGCACGGCGAGTGTGGCGCGCAACCTCCCGCCATCGATCCCCATGAAAAATGCATCGCTGCCGATGAGTTGGAAACACACCGCCGCGACTCCACTGGTAAAGGTATAGGGCTCCCAGGCTCCACCTGCCTGCACGCGCAGCATCAATATTGCACCGCCACTGCAGGTTTCCCTCCCCCATTTCCCCTGCACCCTTCCCCAGTCCGCCCCCTCCCCCGACACCAATACACACGCGCGCGCCCACACACACACACACACACACACACACACACACACGAATGGACCGCGGGGATGAGAAATCGCGCGCGCAAAGCGGAGCAGCGCGACTCCAACTCGAATCCACCCACCGCCCTTTCTCTCGACTACACCGACAGCGACACCACGACACTAGCTTCAGGAAAGCGCAATAAAAGTGTCGTTTACTGTCGCTCCTTTTTTGGCGGTGCTCGCGGTCCTCGTGGTCTTGGGCCCCGCGGGCCATGGCGGGCCAGTCTGGCCCAATCGTTAGGTCGGCCAGTTCGGCCAGTCAGCTTCTTTCAGCGAGCGCGTTCCTCCCCCGGAGCCGAGCCACCCCTTTGCGAACACACTTCGGCCACCTCTGTGCCATCTCTTTCTTTACCCCATTCCCACCAATTTCCACCCTTTTCGCAGCACTTTGTCCGCCTCCTTCCCATCACTTCGCCCACTCCTTCCCAACACTGTGTCCGCCCTTGCCCCCGCATTCAGGCCGTCGCCACTCGGTACACTGTAGTGGCCGGCAGAAGAAGTCCTCCACTCGGCCGCTGCATCCAATAAGCGAGCAGTGCGGAGCCTGGACCCGAAGCAGGTGCCCCGAGCACCTGGCTCCGATCAAGCCTCGAGGCGTGTCCGCCGTGGCAGTGCCGTGGCCCCACGGGGACCATTAGGCCGTGGGGCACGTGTCAGGGGCCCCGAGGGGGAGGGGCCCCAGAGGGGGAGGGGCCCCAGAGGGGGAGGGGCCCCAGAGGGGTGGCCCCGCGGCAGCAGTCCCGCTGCTGGGGTTCCAATAACCGCGACGCGCAAAATACGCGACGCTCACCCCTTCCCCCGTCTCTCTCGCTCACTCACTGAGTACGTACACTGCCGTTCAAAAATAGGTCAGCCGGCGTGCGAAATCTAGGGCAGGCGCACCGCACCAAGAAAGTCTCGCTGTCGGGTCAATGTTAGCACCGCCCTGCGATTTGCAGCCATCAGGGTCATCAGGCCCATCACACTCGCTCGCTCGCTCGCACACACGCTCATGTGCTTGCTCAGGCCCCCTCCCCCTCGCCTCTCTCTCTCTCTTTCCATCTCCCTCTCCCTTTTCCGGGACGTCAACCCGACAACTTAGTTTTCGATCCGGCCGCTGGTGCCATGGGTCCGCCTCCTCGCAGAGCCCATGCTTTTCCTTCTTTCTCTCTCTCTCTCTCTCTTGCTCCGTTTCTCACTTGAGTTTGCAGTGGAGCAGCTCCGCGCGCCGTCGGGGCGGCCCCAGTTCCTTCCCAATAAAGTCCCACTGAAAGTAATGAAAGGAAACCCCGTGACATAAAACCGGGGCCAGTTTTTCTCTTTTTCCCCGGCGCGCTGCGACGCGCTGCGACGCGCTGCGAGCAGGGTAGTGAATGTTACAGCGTGGGGCGCACAAGTGTTTGACGTGTTTACAGCCGGGATGGCCGAGGCGACGGCTTGCCCGGACCGGCGGCTTGCCCATGGCCGGCCGATGGCCGATGGCCGCCGGTGAGAGTCGCGCCGAGCGCGCCGCGCCTTCGCACTGCTTCGAGGTTCGCGCTTCGCACCACTTTGTAGCCGCGCCGTTAAAAAGAGAAGCTGGCCAAAAAAAAAGGAGCGATGGTAACTCATGGTGAAATACACCCCCGGCAGCTCGTTGGACAAATAGAGAGGCCCGCAGACTGCTTCCTGCTGCGGCCTGGACTCCCAAGGGTCGCTTCTGTCTCTCTCGCACTGTCGCAGCCGAAGCCGAGAGGGACGGAGCGACAAAGCAGCCGGCAGGTGAAGCTAAGCGCCCGCCGAGTCGAGGCCGGGCCGCCCCGCCGGGCAGGGCAGCGCGCCGGGTTGCCTATCCTCGACTCATCGGGCGCCTCGAAGGCCTCCATGACGGTCGAGGCACTCCCTCACAAAAACTCAAACCGCCAAACGCCCTGACTAGTGGATGAAATCCGATTGAAGCAAACAACGAAGTCTTCGCGCGCTCGCCGCGTGCGAGAGACGGATGGACACCTCCCTTCGGTGGCGGAGCGCAGCGGCAGCGTCATGCAGCCGATAAGAAAACAAGAGAACGAGAGCAGCGAGCAACACAGAAAGGAGGTTACGCGT